TTCTTCCAAGGGCTGAGAGAAAGGGACTGGCCCAAGATCACACAGCTGGCTTCGTGCCCACGGCAGGACTAGAACTCACAGTCTCCCGGTTTCTAGCCTGGTGCCTTAACCACTACACCAAACTGGGTCTCCATTATTATTTAAATGTATAAATAAATAAATAAAAAAGAACCACAATTTTGCAAGACTGCCAAATCTCACAAGATCTCCATATTTCTCATGAGATCTCAGGAGGCAATATAGGACACTTGATGAGATTTTGATTATTTTGATAACTATTGTTTTTAACAAATGGGGGGGGGGGAAGAGGCTGAAAATTGCATAACCATGCACATGATTGAAAAAGCTGATGAACCTTCTGTACCCAAGAGAATCCTGTTCTGTAATTTGTAGCACTGAGAATCCCCATTTATTGCACTAAAATTGTGTTGGGATTACTACTCTAAGATGTCTCCATTTGCACATAGCTGTTATGCTGGCAATTCTCAACCAAAACGAAGGAGCCCCAGGAGATTGTATTGTGCAAGGAATGTCGACTGTAGAAAGCTCTTCTGTTCCCTGCACCCTCATATTTTGCTACGTTTTGCTGATTAAATAAGTTAGCAGACAGATCAACCATCCATAACTATGCATGCATTTCAATTAAATAACAGCAGCATCATTAAGGACAGCAATACTTTACGAGAAGATTTGCTTATGGACTCAATATGTCCGAGCCTTAGAATTAAAAATAGTCCACCGCGTTATCTCTTAAGGAACTGCAGCAACATTGCAAACATGTTTTAATAATTAGAAGAAGAAGAAAAAAACCTCAGTGACAACCATGGAAACGCATCATAGATTAATCAGAAATGGTATCACATTTTATTTGGTTAGAACGGGGGTGGGCTGAGTGGATGGATGAGGGTTTTGCTCTTCAGGATCTACATTTAACATATTTTGGGAAGGTGAAAAGCAAAGTGGACACAGCAAAAGGTGGACTACACCCTGTGGGCGGATGCCAAATTTCTCCCTAGGCTTTGGGGGGAAAATTTGGATGGGTTTGCTATTTGAAGCCCACTTTAGATAAGCTATTACTGTATAGCTTCTCTGTGTTCCCCACCTTAGAAGGACAGGAAAATTTGTGGCTGAATCTGGGATTAGAAGGAACTATAGAAATTCTTTTAGAAATGCTTTTTTAAAAAAAAAATGCTGTTATTCATATAAGGCTTGAAGTTTGCTTATGTACGAAGATGTTGTTTCAGTCTAAGAAGAAATGGAGGCATCGGATTCAAACAGTAACTCATTAAAATTGTCATTAAATACAGTGATGGGAATTAAGACAGACCTTATCCTTGGAGCACAACTATCTATCTCAGGAAAGACTAGAAGGCAAAAAACTCCTGTTTTCTTAAAGCTGTCTGCCTGTTTTCCTCTCCTTGGTCCAAGTGATCTTTCTCAGTTCACCTACATGGGGCTTCTTTCTTTTTCTTCTTAAATCAAGTTCAAATCCCATCTAAGAAACATTTGGCCAGACTTCAGCCAGCATGGCCAATTGTCAGATCATTAGAGCTGTAGTCCAAACAACAACTAGGGACCAATGATTGATTAAGCGGGATTATAATAACAACAGCAACAACAGTAAGAATATCACACCTTTATTCTGTACAACTCAAATGGGCATGCATAATTCTCCTGCTTCCCGTTTTCCCACAACACTCCCCCTTTGAGATGGAATCCCAGCCAACCCTGGGCAAGGACATTGAAAGACACTGGTAGTTATAGTTCACCATCATCTGGGAGTCACAAGTTTCTTGTTCCTGCTGCTGTATTTACTGACATATTTCTTTACATCCAAGTTAGATCACCTGGTGCCTGTAGATCTTTCACCCTACAACCCTTAAGAGCTTCAGTAGCATGGTCAATGCTCAGAGACCACGAGAGCGGTAGTTCCAAACATCTAGAGGTGCCAGCTGACTGATGCTCAGTTTAAATCATCTTCATCAACAAAATCACTTCCCAGAATTTCATTCCACCAGAAGGGTGATGGCTAGGATGCAAGAGAGGTTTTTGTTTTTCATCAACACTGAAGAAATATCAAAGCTGTGAAATTCTGTGCCCTAGAAGAGACACCTGGTTTCTTATTCTGGCACTACTGTGCCTTGACCATAGTTTGTTACTCCTTATGACTTTTAAAACATGTTTAATCCAGGGCATTTAATTATTTTTAATGCCTAGTATTCTCTTTCTTACGATTGCTATACATTTTTCAGGAATATATTGTATCCAAAATACAGAGGCGCAATACAGCTATCCTGAATGAATTAGCAAGCATATCTTATCTGCTTGGTAAAGATTAAAATGAAACAGCTCAGTAGCTTGAATGTTTTGCAGATGCTACCATGAGAATGAAAGGCCAGAAATGGAGGTGGCCTGATTTTAGAGGAACGATGATACATTAATTTCCATCAAACTCTGGACATTTGCTCACTCCTACCATACACTGTCTGTGTAGTTAGATATTACAGACCCCAAATGTCACCAGGGCACTCCATTTACAGGTAGTCCTCCCTTTTCATTTAGCTACAGCCTCAGAAAAAGTGCTTTACAACCTGTACTCCCACTTACAACCATCGCAAACTGTTGCACCGCCCCCCATGGTCACGTGATCACAATTTGCAACCTTTTTTACAATGATCGTTAAGTGAATCACTGTGGTCGTTAAGCCAATTGTGGCCATTAAGCAAACCACATGGTCGTTAAGTGAATTCTGGCCAAAAACATCCATTGGGGAAGCTGGATTTGCTACATGACCACATGATTTGCTTAACATCACATGATTGGCTTAACGACTGTCGTAAAAATGGCAGTAAAATCAGGTGTGGTCATATGATGACTCGCTTAACAGCTGCCCCGCTTAGCAACCAATTTTACGGTCCCTATTGTGGTCTTTAAGTGAAGATTACCTGTATATGGGAAATAACTATGTCAAGACTTTGCACAAAATAGGCACACAGCGTTACAAAAATTGTGCTACCCTCTTGAAAGAAGTCTGTGGAATTTAGGAGGATCTAGCTGTGTTACACAATCAAAGTCCTGCTTCTTTTTGACGTGCATTGCATTAATCAAAAGATTAATCATTAAAAAACCAGATCTAAGGATGGTCCATCTTTGATGCACAGAGCACCTCATGTGCCAACTAAAAACTTACCAATATAGTGCAGGACTCTCCATCACGTTCAGACTGAAAATCCACATTTCCAAGGTGTAGGATAGCAGCAAGTATTTTAAAAACGGTCATCTGATAGGACTCCTTTACTCCTGAAAAACATAATTGATATCCAATTTTCAAGTGCCTGAGCAACAACTGCCAGCAGCTCCAGCAAGCATGATGTACGGCAGAGGATGCTGGAAGCTGGAGTTCAGCAAAATCTGGACCACCATAGATTTCCCATCCCTGGACAACAAATGCCACAGTTTAGACAAAAAGAAGTTGCCTTCTCTTTAAGTCCTTCCATTCCCATTTTAGCACCTGTAGAGCGACTGGCAACACAAGAAACTACAATCTGAATGAAGTGACAAAAAGAAATTACCCATAGCAGAGGGCCAAGAAAATGTCTTCACAGAACATACAACCACATGCACGTGCATACACACTCACACACTTTTTAAACGCCACACAAATGGTAGCAAGAAACTCTATCCTATAAGCAGCGATACCTAAGATTTACCTTCTAACCTCATGCCTGCTCTCGACGGATTCTGCTAATATTCATATAGAAAATAACATGAAATATGTGCAGTCTACCAAGAAGACCAATTATTTAATTAAAAGGGTAACCTATAAAAGTCTTAGCAAAACTCACTGGACAGCATACACAAATGTCTCCAAGGTTTACATCGGTGTTGTTCAAACTTGGCAACTCTAAGACGCGTGGACTTCAACTCCCAGAATTCCCCAGCCAGCATGACGTCCATGCGTCTTAGAGTTGCCAAGGTTGAAAAACTTTACACTATCCTGTAAAGGTCCTGGGGAGTTATCCTAAGTCTTTGCAAAGGATAGCTGTATCAGCCACACGTTCTCCCGAGAAGCAGCCCAAGTTGTCCTGAAAGCCTTACCAAGCAGGGCGAAAGCTTGCCTTGTTTTCTCAAAATCGTCTGCATCGTCCACTCCTTCGATGAAGGTGCCTCCTCCCTGAGATGTGTAGAAAAAATCTTTGGCATCCACTAGAAGAGAAAGAACCGCAAAAGCAAGTTAAGGGGGAAAAAGCTTGCCCAACTGCTAACTCATATATAACTGGATTCAGTTAATACCTCTACTTGGCAGCTAACACTACGTGCAATCCTTTTCAAGTCCTCGGTTAACAGCCACTCGTTCAGTGACCATTCGAAGTTATGATGGCACTGAACAAGTGGTACTTACAACCAGTCCTTGAAGTTCTGGCCGTTGCAGCACCCCCACGGTCACATGATCATGATCCGGGCACTCAGCAACTGGCTTGCACTTATGATGGTTGCAGCATCCCACGGTCACATGACCACCATCTGTGACCTTCCCTGCTGGTTTCCCACAAGCAAAGTCAATGGGAAAGCTGGCAGGGAAGATCGCAAATAGCTCCCTTAAGTTGCTCCCACCACTTTTTCTCCCGAGGAGCCCATATGGAGTATGAGATGGGTGGCCCGCAGCAACACCCCCACCCGCAGTGCACACATGCCTAGCCATGCTTGCATGGCACCACAGCAACCCCTTCCCCACCTGCATTCCATAGCATTCACCCACTTGCCCAGGACTTGCGACTTCCTGGCGGTTTCATCATTGACTTTGCTTATTGGAAGCTGGCAGGAAGTCGCAAGTTGCAGTCACGTGAGGTCCTCACTTAATGAACCACAATCCTTGCTTAAAAACGGCGATGTGAACTGCTGTTGCTAAGCAAGGCAGTCATATAACATTGCCCTCTATGACCACATTGCTTAGCGATGGAAATTCTGGTCCCCGTTGCCATAGTTAAGTGAGGACTACCTGTATCACACAACTCAGAACATTCTCTCCGTAGTTGAAAATGCTGATGTCACAGCTCAGGTATTCAATCTAATAGGGCCAAGAGGAGTATAATCCCCCATCTAAGTCCTGACAAAGGACATTAAGCAGAGCAACCAGTGCTGTTTGTTCCACGATGGGATTTGAATCCTGATTGTCAGAATCCAGATAATTGATTTTTTTCTAGGATCCTCTGTAGATAGACCCTCACCACCTTTACAATAACCTTCACATAAAAAGGGGAATCTGAAGACTGTACAAAAGTTGTAGAAAACAGCCAGATCCTGGGACAGCTTCTTCAGGTTTCGTGCAGGTGGCACTACACTTTCCATTAAAGAAACACTGACCATATTTTGAATCTGACCATTCACACCCATCTGGTTGCTTGAGGGAGCCAGGAGAGGTGTGGATCTAGTCTACCAGTGGCAGAATTCATATTACAGAAGACCCTGTCCACTTCTTCAGGCTTCACAAGCTCAGAGAAAACCAGATGGTATCATAAAACATAATCTCACTCATCACAGAGGACTCTGTCATCTTTAGGTAGAGCTTTAGGTATCTCTGAATTTCAAAGACCAACCAGATATGAGATGGAACTGCCCACCAAATTGTCAAGTACCTGTGGATTCCTTCTGAATCCATTGGACAACTGAGGGGAGCCATTGTAAAGAGCACACTGTGCATGCAGAGGTCCAAGACATCCATCTGTAGTTTCACAAGGAAGTGTTCTGACTGTGCCAGGTGTCAATGTCCTGCATCTACAGATCACATCATCTGCTCCAAAATGAAGACTAGGGCTAGTTTGTGCCCAACTATCTGTATTAAGATCACAATTACTACCAACAAGCATATGGATGCTATGGAGACCATGAACCCAACTGCTACACCAGACCTCTTCCTAGGGCATGGAAACTGAAGTCACCAAAAACCTTCGGAACTCCAACACCATCCTTGGTGTGACTTCAAAATTGTATTTCAGACTGCAATCTATTTACTTGCTTCACAGAATCAAGTCTGCTCCGTGTGTACAACCTTTCTCTAGACACAGTTCTTTTTCTTGAGCATGCCAGGCTCTACAAATTGGTTATTTGAAGCTTCAGGACAAAAAACTAATTGTTTTTGAAAGTAAAGTAAAGGAGAATAGAGCTTTTTCATTGAGGAGGCTGAATACTATATACAAAATAGCATACTTACATAGTGAGAGATCTTTCAGTTCTGGAAGACCAGCAGAGGCACACAGCTGATAGAAAATGTGGTAATTTCGCTCATCAGCTGCCTGAGAAATAACTTTGGTTTAGTTGCAGAGATATGAACTACAATTGATTAAATATCAATTTCCCCCTTCTCTAGATTTATTCAAACCTCGGAGTTCACACATTCTTCCTCAAGGTAAGAATGATTAAAAAAAATTATTAGCTACAATTAGTTTTAATTTAATGAAACTATGAGATGAGTATTAAATGAGTGGCAAAGAAGCTGCTACTGTTTATGAAAGAACGGTAAAGTCCAAACCACTGTCCCTAAAATGCATGAGGGATGTAATGATTATTCCCATTTTATAGCAAAAGAACTGAGGCTGGATCAGTGTAAGAAGCCTTACACCTAATCTAGCCTACAGGGATCTTCTAGATGTTTCCTATACAAGAACTAATTAGAACTGACCCTGCTTAGGTTTTTGAACTCAACATGCCTGTTCTAATTAGGATCTAAATGGAGATGTTATGTATGTAACCTTAACCTCAAATGGAGAAAGGAGAGATGATAAAGGAATAAAAATACAAAAACACAATGTTCAAACATTGGTTCATTGTTACAAATTACTCAACAGACTCAGATTTAAGTTTTAGTTACAATTGGTTGTAAACCTATTCCAATCCTGCCAAGATTTTCATTTCTAAGGTGGACCTTGTAGATTCTAATTCATAGTTGCCAGTGTTCATGTACCTAATGAATGTGGGCTAATAAGTTCCCTTTCAACTGGAATGTGCACATCTGCCAAGTCTTCATCCCAGCATCTTACTGACTTTTTCCATGTGAAAACTCTCTTCAGAGAGTTTTTTATGTGAAACATCTTCAGACAAAGAATCCCACATATCTGTACCTACGACTTGTAAAATGCCTTATTCATATTTCAGGGCACTCATGATTCATGACCTCCTCCTCTCATCTAGTGAAAATGGAGTGCACAAGTCTGAGATTACTGCCAGCTTCTTTTTGTAAAAAACTGTAGTTTGTCATATTTGAATAAGATCATACTTGTAGCCTCTCCACTGAGACACAGAGGGACCTGTCCTTCTTGGCTTCCAGAAGGGTGCTAAGCCCTGACTCTTCCCTCAGGTGTTGGGTCAGGATGGGAGATGAACCTTGCATTTTTTGGTGTTTTTCTTGAGAGGGTACCATTATAGTGTGGGTGGTGTCTTAAAGAATTTTAAGAGTTTTTTATTATTTGTCGAGTTGTTTATTAGCCGCCTAGGGTTGTTTCCTACAATCTAGGCAGCCATAAATACCTTTTCAGTTAAATAAATAAATAAAAGATAGGCATTACTGGATGCCAGCTGCCATCAGGGACATGTGTCCTTGGCCTCTAGAAAAAAATTACATTTTCAAAGCCACAGAAAGGTAAATATTTAAATACAAAACATATTAGAAAGCAATAGAAGAAAAAGAGAACAGCAGTGTTGAATAGTAGTGCCTTCTGAAAGCAACGTCTGTTTTGGATTGACGTCAACGTATTCTACTTGGTTGCATCCAATAGATCTCACAGGTTGCAAGGTGGAACGCTCCCTGTAGGCGTCCTAGCCATCCACCCTGCTATGGTAGGATACTCTGTTCCAACCCTCTTCCCTCCCCAGGGTCTACTGCCCTATAGAACAGCAGTGCACCTATTCAGTCCTTCCTGAGCATTGATTTTTTTGCAGGGGGGCAGGGAGTTCTCCTCCAGGCTATGCATGGTTGACGCTGTTTTGTAATCGTGGGAAGCAACGTAACAAGTTATTAGCTAGATAGCGTTACAGCAGCATCTGCAACCAAATAATGGGTTTGCTCTCTCTACATATCCCTGCAAATCCCTACATTTGGTTCCTCATCATAGCTCTTTGTGTGAGCTTTGCCACCTGACTGAATTTGCACACTGTCTTTTTCAAAAATAATGGTTGTTTGATACTGGAGGAGGATGAATTAATGAAGGCAATACTTTGAGCGATTTCTAAACAGAAAAGCAGAAATAAATAAATAAACGCACACATACCCCTAGCATTCCTAAAAAACGAATGACCTCCATTCTCACCATACTTCATCATATGGCATGACGGGGAGGAGATCAACTCACAAAACTCTAAAATAGATAAGGCACAGAGTCCCCTATGTATTGTAATTAATACAGTAACACGGTGTGAATATTAGCATTGTATCTTACAAGATTTGTAGTAGCTGGGATGAGCGCAAAACTACCGTTCTGGACAGAAGCCACAGGTCATGTGGAACATGTTGTTAAATCCTCAAATCAGGAGAGCAAAATCCATAATGATAAATAAACTAACCTGGAATACAACTCTTGATTTCTCAAGCAGATATGTCCTCATGTTGGCACCAATGATACGGTGTCTTTTATCAAAGCCAATCTGAATGTATTTCCCAAAGCGGCTGCTGTTGTCATTCCGGGTTGTTTTTGCATTACCAATTGCCTTTATGAAATTAATAAAATATTAGAAATAGAGGGGTTTTTTGCAACAATGTTCATTTATCTCACAGGTATACTTTGTAAGTAGTTGCATATAAATAAAAAACATTATATTAAGAGAAAGAGAGAGAGAATGACAGATAGAGATAGCAACATTTCTTGAAGATTAAGCGGTACGTCTTTAACAAGATCATAAAATATCTATTAGCCTTATCCCCTCTGCCTGTGAAACAGAAACCAATACCGACCTATTTTATAAGCTTGTTTTAGAGTGTAAATAATGAAGATGGCAGCAAATACTTTATAATGTTGATAAAAGTTTGTTACCAAATGAACTCTAAATATAATTAACACTCTTGATTACTCTAGATAAGTGTTTCTCAAACTTGGTAACTTTAATATGTGGACTTCAACTCCCAGAATTCTTGCCTTCCAGAGGAATTCTGGGAGTTGAGGTCCACACATATTAAAATTGCCAAGTTTGAGAAACACTGCTTTAGATGATAGTACTTGGATGAAATCTTGAGCTTCACAATTGGGTGCTAACGGACAATCAAGAGACTCAAATGATGTGCCCTTCTGGGAGGTAACAATATTCCTCAAAGCTTCAAAATGTCATGGACTAATTTTCCCAACCTGGCACTCTCCAGAAGCCTAAATTGGATAGAAAATGTGGAGCTGCAGACTACACACACACACACACACATATAGAAATATGCAAAGAATGTCAAATTAGGGAGCTTTTGGCCACCCAAAAGAGACCATGCCTTTCATTATACAATGTTAACTAGTGTAATGACAACAACAACAGACCTACATACACATTATAATTTTAAGCAACCTTCAATTTCATAACAAGTGTATTCGTTACGACTAATACAAAAAAGTGTGTATCTAGATTAATTTATTTGAAAGCAGACTTATAATAAGTTGCAGTTTTCAAGCAAGACACAGAAGTTGGGTTCACTCACTGTTTATAGATGTTTATGTGATTTGTTTGGTTTTGACTTAGGCTGTGGTGTGAATTCAGCCATTGTCTGTAGACCATGGTTTGTGGTGTAGCATCTTGTATGGACCCAGACAACTGTGTTTTATTCAAACAACCCTGACTTACCATACCAGAGGCAGAAAGTATTGATTAGTCTGCAGTTCAATTGTGTTTGCTTTCTAAGATCACTAGGAGCTTGCGTTGACAGTTGCAGCTCTTGATACAGCTTTACTGATTTATTACAAAATACCTTTTTTTACTACATTTACCGTTGGGACAAGGCCTACATATTTGCTTCTTAATAACTCAGAATTTGAGGTAGACTGATTACAGAAAAACAAATGAAAACTGTGCTTCCAAGGTATTAGTGAAACAAGATGTCCTGCATGCTAAGTGACAAAGTGTTTATATAAGAACAGAATCTAGCTGTGTAGAACCCCTAAAAAATACTGGCAAAACTAAAATTAATGGTACTGTACCCACAAACTGGCATAGAAAATGCTTGGTGTCTTATCAAGAATTCTGGATCTTAATTTAAGCTTAATGAAGGCATGGATTCTGGTTTTAAAAGTTGATTAGGAGCAAAAAGATAATGATGATAAATTCATGCAAATAACCTTCCCCTCATTTTTTGCTACCTCATTGGAGGTTTTGAAATATGAACAGATTTTTTATGCAATGTCCACAGGCCCAGAGCAACCTTGATGGGGCAGCAATAAAGCTGCTTCGAAAGACACCAGAAAGGGAGGAGCAAAGTTATTAAATTCTTAAGATATAAGTGTGCCAGATAGTCTCTCTTTTAGTAAAGCTCCTTCATGAAAAGGGTCCCCAGTGACTGTCACTCTTAAGCGCAAGGCACTTAAACTTCCAAGTCATTTGCACCCTCTTATTCAGTTGTCCCTCATAAAACAGGAGGAACAAATGGGGCCGGTTGCATTCACATAGCAAACTAAACCATAGCTTATTTTAGCTCTTGTTTGGGAAAGCTTTATTGGCTTGCAAAACCTAGGACCCAGCCATTACCTTTCCACCTGTGAATAAAACCCTCAAAGACTAAAATTCAAGGAAAGAATTCAAATCCCCAAATAGCATCTGATCTCATTCATAGATGGGATAAAGAAGAAAACTAATTGCTGCTTATACTCCAGGTTAGACTGAGTTGCTCAGGGTCCATCCAAGGGCAATTCAAGGACTACTAGCTCTCTTGCATAGCATTTTCTAGGAAAAGCTGGGACTTCAGATCTGAAAGCAAAAGGGTGCTTTGAAGCGCACGGGGAGCTCCTGCACCCCTCTCTGTACCTCTTTAAAGCAGGTGCATCTCTTCTGAGAATTGCACAGCTACCCCCACAGCTGCAGCTCAATCCTTAGGAAACAAGTATTAAGTTATGTGTATCCCTACATACTCCATATCTCTTTTTCGCCTTTGAATTGGAAGGATGCACAGCCCTAAATGTATGTAAAAGGACTGGTCTCCCTCAAATACTGACCTTCCCAATTGTCTAAGGCTTTAAAGATCACCCCCTTGAATAGGCCTGGGAGTGTTTTGGCAGCTTTTGCAAAGAGAGAGAAATATGTTTTCTTTCTGATGTTTCCAACCATGCTCTTGGTACGGCATTCTGTACGAGCTGCAGGTTACCCAGCAGAGTCAAGGACTGCCCTGTACAGTTCACTGCGATAGCCCAAAGGTTTTAATTTTCACCTCAAAAATCAAGCCATGGTACAGAAATCAAATGAAATTAAATTAAGATATTCATCACTGAACATTAGTGTTGTGTTGGCCTCATTGGCTCACACCACCATTTAATTTTAATTGATTGGCTGCACTGATGCATAAGAGTTGCCTTTGCACATCTGTGACATGTTTTTAAAAATTACATGAGTCAGCACAGCCAAATGACAGGGAGAGCAAATAACATAAAAGCTGGCGCCGAGACAGAAAACATTTGGGCTGAAAACTCTCACAAACCTGCTAAGTCTTTTGAAAACCCACCCATTGACAATATTACCTGAAATTCCAGTAGAAGCAAGAAAATATTGTATGTTCCTTGAGAGATTTACCTCTGCATATCTGAGTTACAGTACCAGTATTTGCTCATCCCGCTATCTCACCAGCGTCCTTTTGCAATAAAAGTCCTGTCATTAGAACTCAATCCCTCTGGAATTGGAGCTTTACATAAGCACTGCATGCAGCCTCAACTCCTGTCATTTAGATATGATGTGCCCTCTCTTAACAGGACACGGAGGGTAAATGCAACCGTGCAATTGCTACAGATTGATTGATCCTCTGCAAATGCTAAAGTAAGTCAGAAGAGAGCATCAGGGACACGTATCATGTCCTGCTTTGGCTTCTGATAGGTTTCCAGGTACAAGTCAAAGTGCTGGTGAAGGGATCAAAAACTAAATTGGCAATATCTAAATTGGCAATGTTAACTTCATAGCTTT